GTGGAATCAAGCACAAATCTCAGTTATTGGAAGATAAATATGAGAGGAGAAATAGAGGAGCTCCTGAATTAAGAATATAAAGGTATATTTTGTTATACACTTCATCTCACATTCCAGATAGAAGAATTTCTGGGCTCATTAATGGAAACTTTGTTTATAATATAACATTAAATTACAACTGTTGGCACAGTGAAATTCCATCCTTGATATTCAAATTCTTCTAGAAATTATCACATTTGATTTTTTGAAGAAGACTAATATTTTAAGAGGAAAAAAACTATCATTATTAGGTTGGTATAAAATTAATTGCAGTTTTTGCCATTACTTTCAATAGCAAAAACCACAATTACTTTTGCACCAATGTTATACTTCTAAAAATTTAGACTTCTTTATTTAAATATAAACACAAACTAATTTTCCTTGTTTGTCAATATATTGAATGTGAGCTCTCCTTAGTATCAATGTTGTTAATTATAACATTGTTGTTCTAGAACTGTGGTTGCTTGAAATAATCAGGTATTTTGACTCATCAGGTGATTATTATCTGCTATTATTATGAGATACAATCTAAAATATTACTGGATTTAAAATCAGTAAGCATTTATTAGGTACCTTCTTTTCTCTGCAATGTACTACAACCTGAAGGAAGGAGAGGGAACAAAATTGTGAGGAGAAAGGAGACAAGGAATAAGAGTGTTTCACACAATTTCATGGAGAGAGAAGATTTGAAACTACAATCGAATTTTATAGAGGAAACCCCAAAGCCATAAATTAAATGTTTGTTTCACAATTAAGGAAATATGTCCATTGAGGTTAAACAACGTGACCACAATTGTCCAGCCAATAAGTAGTCACGGAAGTTTCCAAGAGAGAAGTGGGATTTGTGAGTGGGACTGAAGAATGATTGTTTTGGGATATGCTGAGAGCCAAGTAGTATTACTTATTATATGTCAAGCTTTATATTCTTTTACTTTTACTTCCTCTTTTACAGCATCACAACCTTTTATGTTAAATATTGTTAACTGGGCTCCAAGGAAGGGAAACAGCTTTCTCAAGTACTTATAAACATATCACAGATTCAAAGCTGCAGCTACTGACTATAAATATAGCCTTCTATAGCACACTGATTTGGTCGGTAGAGACATTACAAATTTTGAGTTTCTTTGATGTAAGAAATGGAACAACCATGTTGGAGCAAGAGTATATAAGACACCTCACTTAGCCAAAACAGAGCTTTCATGCTCTGTTTTGTATGTGAGAGAGTAGTGAGATCTATAGAGGCTACCAAATTTATTAAAAAGTAATAAATGTTCTATTTACACATAAAGTCCAGAGTGAATGTTTCATACAACAGAAGAAAGTATAATCATAAAACAAAAGGGAAGGAAAGAAAGAAGAAAGGAGGGAAGGAAGGAAAGAAGGAAGAAAGGAAGAATGAAAGGAAATTAATAATATTAAAAATAAAACAAAGCCTCTCTGATGAAAACTAACTTGTATATGTCTATGTATGAATGTAACATATATTAAGATCCAAATCAACCAGAGAAGCAAAAGAATGTCACATATTATAGCAGTAATTATCTTTATGTGTATGGATTATAGGTAATATTTTTCTTACTCAGATTTTTTTTTCTTCAAATTTTCTACAAGGAGTTTACATTGATTTGGTAACACACAAAAAAATCAATTTACATAGAAAGAAATACATGTATGCAAACTAAATTATTGGTTGAATTTAAAATTTTGCTAAATTTTAAACTATAACATGTATATTTAGGATAAAAATTAGAACATGCTATACTGAAACAGTGTGACTATTCCATTATTTTATAATGCATTATTTTCAATTTATTGTTTTTCCTAATGAGGATGAAACACAAGTTAATATTCTATCTCTTTTGATAGACTCCATAAGAATTTGCAGTTTTCAAATATCAAATTGTATATAGGTGTATACATTCAGGTATGGATTTCAAAAATGTAGTCTGGGCTCTAGCTTTTAATGCTGATAATTATTATCTAACCAAATATGCTAACAGAATTTAAAAGAATATCTATTTTTGTTCTTTTCACATGTGGAATTTGTTACTGGTTTAATACTGAATTACTATAATTTAGATTGGCCTATATAATTTCAAACAACATTAGGTTGATAATAAACACAAAATATAGTCTTATTGACTGTTTGATCAGTTCTGTGTTTTTAAATTTTTAGAAAGTTATTACTTATTGCCTGACTTAAGGTATTTTTCAACTTATCTGTTACATATTGATGTCATTTATTAAGGTGTATTTTCCTGTGACACTTTTTAGAAATCAATAGGATAAGTGGCATTTATTTTATGTTGTTTCTTCAAAAATGTCCTGAAATATTGATGGCATATTTTTCTTTGAAATTATTCAAAGTGTTGCAAATGAAATATCGCAAAGTTTATTTTTCTGTTAGCTGAATTAAAGCTAAATTAATTCAGTATTTTAACTGCATAGATTAATTTATCTAGAACAAGACCACAGAAAGGTTTTAAAGCCACTCTACCCATTACTTTCAAATAAGATGCTTCGCAATCCCAGTTTCATTTTCAAGACACTTCAGTGATACTCTATTTGTGGTATCTCATAAGATGCGCTGAATCGAAAAAGGTTGAGTGATTGCTCATCTCTGACACCATTTTAAAGAAAATAATTTTGCCTTCAGCATTTCTAACATTGTAGTTACTTATTTGTATTGCATGTAGAAATTGCTTTGGTATTTGTCAATGAGCAACCATAGTTACATGAACCTTGAGGAAATCTCTCCAGAATTAGGAAATGGAAAGCATTCATTGGTAGTAAGAAGTTTGGAGTTTCATACAAGTAATATAGCAGCATTTTTCTCACTTTAGAAATAATTCGGCCGGGCGCGGTGGCTCAAGCCTGTAATCCCAGCACTTTGGGAGGCCGAGACGGGCGGATCACGAGGTCAGGAGATCGAGACCATGCTGGTTAACACGGTGAAACCCCGTCTCTACTAAAAAATACAAAAAATTAGCCAGGTGAGGTGGCGGGCGCCTGTAGTCCCAGCTACTCGGGAGGCTGAGGCAGGAGAATGGCGTGAACCCGGGAGGCGGAGCTTGCAGTGAGCTGAGATCCGGCCACTGCACTCCAGCCTGGGTGACAGCGCAAGACTCCGTCTCAAAAAAAAAAAAAAAAAAGAAATAATTCACCATGAACCTCATACTGTCAAATTATTCCTAATCATTGACTTTGCCTAATGGTAATACTCTTTTCTTTTTGACTGAATGTGAATTTGCTTGGCTTACTTTAAAAATTTATAAATAGATAGATTTTTTTTAACTAACCAACTGCATCACCTAACCTCTGTAACCATACACGTTCACAATGCTTTCACATAAGATCACATTCGCAATACTTTCCTATAATCATTATTTCATGTTTAAAAACACTTGTTTTCTCAGAGCCCAGTGAGCTTCAGGCCATATCATAGTTTCTTCAAAGTCTTCAAAGAAGTTTGACTATGCTCCTTGCATAGAATCACGCTCTATGGTTTCTTCATTATGTTAATAGTGTATAAGTTATGGTTTTGCTCATTAAGTTACTCTGAGTTATGAGAAAATTCCTAGATGTTCTTCTCTGAAAATTTCTTATAAAATCTTCTTTACTGATTACAGACGTTCTCAAAACAATTGTGATAATAAATGGTTCATAACACATTTCATACAGCGCAAAATATTTGGCCCACGGCCTTCAGTAAATGAGAAAAATAGAATATGTGTAAGGCCATTCCTGATTCAGAGAAGCGAGAAAATGAAAGACAAAATATAGAATTATTATGGTGAGGTATATTTTCCCTGTTTTGGATGTTTCCAGTGAGGTTTGAAAGTATAAATTTATTTAAGGAAATGAAGTAACATCTCACTTTAAGTTTTTTTCATACTCAGTAATCTAGATATATTTTATCTCCCCTGGAAAGCTTTATAAAAGTTTTAGAGAAAAAGAAAATAATATGTGAAATCTAAAGCAAGTTTATTAAATACAGCAACAAATGGGATCTAACATATTTCCCTTACATATGGATGGCAGAGTACATATCTCTCCAAATAGAAGACAATAGCAAAAACAAAATAATTTTTAAACTTATTAAGTTTTTGTGTTTATAATTGGACAACTTTGAAAGTAAGAGAAAAATCCACACTCAGCTGTTTTCAAAAAACATCATTGCCCTTAAGGAAATGAATATGCCAAGAAATATTGGAAATCTCCTTTCTTCCAGAGATGTGAGTTTGTGTGCTTTTCACATGAATGTTTGACAGCAATTATGGATTTAAACATTTTGAAGTGCTTTATTGCCTGTAAAGTACTTATCAGCATTGAAATATATTTTATCTATTTAACAAAATGTTGAATTGTGTATGTGGAAAACTATCAATTATTCTACAACTTTTTTATTTATGAGTGGAACTAAGGCTTCTAATTTGCTTTAGTACCTTGTGACTTGGAAAATTAGAGCTGAATAAATCAGTTGATATAACATAGATAAAGCATTTATTTCTTTGGAATTTTAATTGCAATATCATACATTTTGAAAATCTATAGGCATAGTTTCAAACTATTTTTTTCTAGGAAGATTATTTAATCTTTACCCAGTTACCATGACTTCTGCAGTCATATTTAGTCCCTTTTGAGAAGATTTTACTCTGCATATTATATAAATGTTTGCTATTGATTCATTTCAAAGGTGAGGTTCTAGAGTAATATTCACCTACATTCCAGGTCCCCTGCGTATTTATATGACCTCAAGAATGAGAAAGAGAATAAACATTAAAGAAAAAATAAAATAAAAGCATCAAATTTTCTAAATGCTTAGAAATATTTCTTCAGTAATTCTTTAAAATATTATTCATAAAGATACTTTTTAAGTTTTCTGCATTGTATGCTTGCTATAGGATATGCTCTGTTTCTCTAAATTCTTCTCTTCTTGATTTTGTTTTTTGTTTTTCCAGTTACTGGCTGACTAACAAAGTTCCTATCAAAAGACCCAGCACAGGTCTCCTCATGTATACACTTGCCACAAGATTCTGTGATGAAATTCACCTGTATGGATTCTGGCCATTCCCTAAGGATTTAAATGGAAAAGCGGTCAAATATCATTATTATGATGACTTAAAATATAGGTACTTTTCCAATGCAAGCCCTCACAGAATGCCATTGGAATTCAAAACATTAAATGTGCTACATAATAGAGGAGCTCTAAAACTGACAACAGGAAAGTGTGTAAAGCAATAAAGCACATTTTGAAACAAACAATATGCACTTCTTTTCTGAAGATGCTTCCGGAGATTTGAAAATAGGATCCAAAACACGGCTGGGTTTCAGCATCCACCAATTAACTGAAAGGTGAATAAAGGACGTTCATGAGAAATCAACTACCAGCTGACGAAATACCTGCAAAGTGCTCTAAAAATTAAATATTTTGACTTCAAGGGTCCTAGTAAGTGCCACTTCCACTAAGAATACAGTTTGAATGTATAATCAGTAGTGTTTACAAGATCCAACAGTGCACTCATCATTAGTTAACAAAGCAAATATGTTTATCACTGTCAGGCTGCCCACAGCAACGCCAAGCACATCAGAAGAGGAACCCCAGGAACTTAACTCTGACCTTGGGAAATTAAACCATCCTTGTCAGCAGAAACCAAGATGGAAGCAGTTTGAGCAATGAAATCCATAAGATTAAACAACTCAAGTAAATGCCTTCAGTCAGGACTCTGAGTCTGATCATGAATTTTATGTTTTAATTTATGTTTTTGTTTGTCTTCTGGGATCTCTTTTGTTTTGGGTATTAGGGTGCTTAGAAATCCTTTCTGAGATACATATGAATGAGGAAAGAAACTTTAATTATTTTTAAAGTTCTTATACTTTTTAAAAGCTATCACACAAAGATTTTATTTTATTTTATTTTATTTTTTTTGAGATGGAGTCTCCCTCTGTCGCCCAGACTGGAGTACAGTGGTGTGATCTCAGCTCACTGCAAGCTCCCCCTCCCAAGTTCACGCCTTTCTCCGGCCTCGGCCTCCTGAGTAGCTGGGACTACAGGCGCCTGCCACCACGCCCGGCTAATTTTTTGTATTTTTAGTAGAGATGGGGTTTCACTATGTTAGCCAGGATTGTCTCTAGATCTCCTGACCTCATCATCTGCCCACCTCGGCTTTCCAAAGTGCTGGGATTACAGGCGTGAGCCACTGCACCTGGCCGACTTTCTAAAAAGTTTTATTTTGCACAACTCTAAACCTGCATATTATTTTCCAGTGGTGTAGAAGGTACCAGCTAAAGTGAACCACTATGTAATATTAGGCCATTCTAAAGGAAAGATGTTCCATGTCATCAGAGATGGTAAAATAGGCAGAATTTTAAAAAAATGAAAAAAAGAAAAAAAGATCTTTGGTACCAAAGATTAAGCTTGCGTTTCTACACAGCAAACCATTTTTCTTTCATGAAAATAATATATTATTAACATGAATATATTATTTTGTATTAATGTGAAAGTTGTCTCTAAATATTTTTAAATTTCCAAACTCATGCTTTATTTTCATTTGAAATGTTTTTCACACCTTTTGCATTACATAATAGTTTTGTGGAAGCATTTTGCCCTTTAGAATAAATATTAGATTGATATAGCTGAAATGTGACGTCCAGTTCTTTGATATTCCCCTTGTTATTCAAATAGAAATATGGAAATGCTTCATATATTACTGTTAAATTTCTTAGTGCAGAAATAACATTATTAATAGAGTATTGTTTTCAAAACAGAGATGATTAATTTCAAGAGGTTTAACAATGAAATTGTGTCAATATTTTGCATTTAAAATGAATTTAATTGACCAATATTTTCTGTAGTTAAATTTAGTCACAATATCACATGTGTTCTTCAAGAGACACATGAAATTATTAATAAAGTAATTTAAAAATTTTTAATGTATGACAGAATTGACCGGTAGGCCAGTTTTCTGGTAACATACGATAGTGGAGTGTTTCTTTAGAAAGCAGAAGCACTGCATTCTCACTTCTACTTTGATTTCTTATTTCTTGGGGAGGCAATTTGAGGAAAGAAGAAATGTACGGGGAATATATATGTTTTGTTTCTTAGGGAAAACAATCTGAGAAATGAATAAAAAGCATGAAGTGTGTGTGTGTGTGTGTTACCGTGGAAAAGGATATTCACAGTAGTACAGTTCTCAATATTTTTAATGAGATGCCATCTTTTAAAAATATAGTAAAACCTTGGGATATAGAATGTTACATCTTTTGAGAATGTATGTGTCTCTAAGTAAGTGAAATCTAATGCGTATAGGAGGCTGATAGCTAAAAATGAATGGAACATTAATGTACTTTTATAATTAAACCTCTTATCTATTGGAAATTGTAAGAGAATAGATACATGTTTTGAATGTAAAGTTGAAAAGTCTGGTTTACTTAACAAATTGAAAGTGATTTATAAAATCTAAATTTGGACTACTTGCAAATGATAAGCTGTTCAAGTAGCCTTTAATTTAAATCCAACAGAAATCTAGAAGTCACAAGCAAATATCTTATAGGTAAAATCCATCTGGGCACTTAAAGTATGTCTTTAAAAAGCAGCAGCAATGTACCTTGCCATTTTTAGCATATTTTCTTCCTTTTTTTCTTTCTTTCTTTCTTTTTTTTTTTTTTTTGGAAATGGAGTCTCACTCTGTCACACAGGCTAGAGTGCAGTGATGCCATCTCAGCTCACTGCAGCATCCACCTCCCAGGTTCAAGTGATTCTTGTGCCTCAGCCTCGTGAGTAGCTGGGATTACAGGCGCCCATAACCACACTTGGCTAATTTTGTATAGTAGAGACGAAGTTTCAACATGTTGGCCAGGCTGGTCTTGAACTCCTGACTGCAAGTGATCCACCCACCTCAGCCTCCCAAAGTGCTGGGATTACAGGTGTGAGCCACTGCAGCCGGATCATTTTTAGTATATTTTCAATAAATATATTTAAACAATGTAAAGGCCACAGCACACATATCTCAGCCATTAATTGTTCTGTGCATTGATGTTTATCTCATAGATGCATTGAGTAGTGCCTTTTTAGCTTTTTCACATTGCTTTGTTACTACTGTATCCTTTGTGTTCCCTAAATACATTGCCCACTTCCAAAAATGTTCAGCATGAAAAAAAGGGCTTCAGTATCAACTGAGACTACTTTTGTTCATCTCAGGGAACTTTCAATAGTCAAGAATGAATTCAGTTAAAAGTATTTAGGGTTCAAAGAAGACAAACCGTACAAGCCCATTTCATTCCTTGTTGTATACCTTTCCATCTGCCCTCCCGCTTTCACTATCTACTGTGGCCTTTTTATAGGAACAGAGCAAGATCAATGAAGGCTAATGGCAAGAATAAGAAAATGAGTTGAGATTTAACCAATAGCAGAGCATAAAGGATCATAACAAAATCAAATTATAAAAGCATACTTGAAATAAGTGGAGTTTTTTTTACTTTGAAAATATCATATATTCACAATTTTAATATTTTAATTTATTTTTTACTGTTTAACCCTGTACCTGGCAATGCTCAGGCAGCTGATTGTGAAATACTCCTGTCCTTTACAGAACATGGTTGTTATTGTGCTGTTGACATGAATAGACCATGGAAACATTTTCATCATTATTACTCAGCCTGTGCTGTAATTAATGTTAAGTTGCTGAAATAAAAAGTGAGCAAGTAATAGATTTTCTGGGCAAATCTGATGATTCAGCCCACAGGACTGATGAAACTACTGCGGAAGTTTTTCTATCTGAAAGAAGGTGCTGGGCATTCAAATGTCTTCATGTATTGTATATCATATGAATTGTATATCAATTACTAATGGGAATTTCTACATATATGCTTACAAAAGCAATTTATTTAAGTAATGCTAGGGGTAGTGTACATACCAATTAGTTATTCAGCTACTATACAGAAAAAGGATGAACAAATTAATTTATTTCTGATTGAGTCAGTTAGACATAATGCATATAACGTGATACTTGGTTCATAAAAGAATTGTTTTCATGTGGTTTTTGTAGGGAGTATATGTAATTGTGGAAGGGGTATGGGAAGAGTTGTGTATAGTTAGTTGTTATCTCTACAAGTTGGAAAGTTTTCCCATCAAACATTATCAATATCCCAACGTTTTAAAAATTGAGTGAGGGTTATTATTTGTATTTGATGAAAGAAAATCCAAATAAAACCCACCTAGAAATAGATATTTTATTATATATGTGCTATAGATATAACTATATAGTACAAATAGACATGTGTGATGCATATATACAATGTTATATATGTGTATATGTGTTTATACACACTGAGTCTGTAATATGTACACACTAGATTTGTGTTATGCTAACATCTTCAGGGTCTGCACTGTGAACTACCCTGGAGATAAGTAAGGCCACTTTAGAATAAAGAAGTTCTTTTGAGACTTCAGTTACTAACCTGCTTTAAGAGGTATCTACTTTATAACTGAATTCTATGTCGTTCATATGTAGAGTTACAGTAAGAGTCTAGTATGTCCAAATCTTAAAAATAATAATAAAGAAGAAAAGTAAAGCCTTCAAGCTAGCAATGTATTCGAATTACAGTTTTCAGACTGTGGCTCTAGGCCTTGTGTTTTTCATTTAAGTAGCACCTTTTAATAAAAACCGTTTCTTTGTGTAGGCAAAAGCACAAGTGTTTCAAATGTAAATAGCAGGAAAATAAAGAGTTTACAGAGATAGCATTGCTGCACACAATAATTGCTACTGAGTATTTCTTATAGAATTTGTGGAATTGAAAGATGAGGTTTATTCTGTCAAGTTCATTCTGTTCAACACTGTTTTCTTATTGTTTGTGTATAGCAACCGGGTGTTATTGTTTTATCATTTGTAAAATTGTAAAATAAATTAAATCCCTTTTTTTCACTGCTTTTCTTATCTCATATATCCAAGCCCTTGGTTATACTTTGTACGTTAATGTTAAGTGATCATTTTTAACAAGCTTTGGTTAGTGCTTTGATTTTCCACCCCCCTTAGCCCTAGTGGTTGGCAATTAGGCAAACCATTTATTTGTAAGTGTATACATGGGAATATGAGCAATGTCAAAAACTCCCTGACTATTAGGAAATCCTTAACAATATTTTGTGTAGTACATTCTGTTTGTGGTTGAGGGAATAAAGTATTTCACAAGTGACAGTCATTTATATCCAATTCACACTCCCACTGACTAATGTTAGTGAGTTATTTTAGCTACAATGGGTTCGTACACACTGTACATTCTATGACAGATTTTTGATTTAGTATTTCGACTGCTATTTGATCCACTTAATATTGTTTGCAATTTGCCTTCCAGGAGATGATTCCGAAAAACTACATGCTTAAATCTTCTTCCATGGCTTTCTATAACTTGCAAGTCTGTTTTCAGACTCTGTATTGATTTCCACAGAAACATTTAAGAGAAATTTTAAGAAGCCACTGTAGCATTCTGCAATTTTGAAACATTTACTGGAGACCAGTAATGAAGCACTGACAATAATTAATACATATAGATGTTATTTATATTTGTGTTATTACCTTCTTTTTCAAAGATTCATATACAATGGGTTATTCTTAGCTACTTTGGGGGGTATAATCAGACCTCATCATGTGGAACTCCATTTTTGATGTTATGGAAGAGCTTTCAGGATTGTAGTATGAGTTTTGATGCCTGAAGCAATTTTCTAAAAGGCAGTATTTACAAATAATTTATTCCTACTCTCAAATATTATTTTTAAATGCTTATGATTTAAAAATAGGTTTAGGTATGGTTTTGCCTGAAATGGTGGATGATTTGCTATAATCCCTCTCTTTACACTTATTATTTTATATTACAGCCCAGGCCTTTTCAAAATG